GGGACGCAGAAGCGATCTGGCGACAGGTAAGTCGCCAGGATCGCTTCTGTTGTAAAGCCGACAGTCGGCTCTACAAGTTTAAACAGAGTCCCGGCGGCAAAAGTCACCGGGAGTCTGTTTAAACAGCCCCGATGCTGGCGACGTACACTGTACGTCGTCAGTCACGAAGGGGTTAAAGTGATATTCAAGCCAAATATTTGTTTCCATTTCTCCTTTAAGTAGACACTACTTTGCTGGAGTCTTTTTTTTCTTTTAAAAGTACTTTCCTCGTTCTAGTGTCCCCGCTCTGCTCCCCCCCCCGCCCCCTGCATGGGTGCCACCATCGTTCTAATGGAGGCACTCGTCCCTGCAGCGGCTGTGTGCATCATTAGACACACAGCCCTTTGGCAGGCCACGCCCCTTTGATGGCAGAAGGAGCCTATGGCTCATCTATCAGTATCCTCCCCTGCAACCCGGAAGTTCGGGGTACGGATGATTGATTCGGGACCGGCGGCGGGTACGAGCGCAGCTGAGAGCTAAGTGTGGGGGAGACTGGGGTACAAAGGTCCCGGGCTGTTTTTACTCTAATGCAGAGAATACATTAAGGTAAAAAATGCCCAGACCTTAATACTATAAACTGCAATTTAATTTTATAATACTCTAGAACCTTATATTGGCCTATAACTGTCCCCTGAGAATTATCTGGCTCCTTGATGAGGACGGGGAAGCATGTTTTGTTCTAGCAAAGTCACCTTGGGCTTCCATTGGCTCACAGGTGTGTTAAGGGAGTTCCCTGCTGACCCGTCACCTTGTGGTGTCTGTCAGGGGAATAAGTGCTGAGGGAGGATGTGGCTCTCCTGCAAGCCCCTCAGTGTAATGCTACTAAGCAGGAGTAGATTTCTCAAAGGAGAACTATGAGGAGTGATTGTCACTCAGTCTCATAATCTGAGCCTACGTGTGACAAACTGTCACAGGTTGGCTCAGTAGATCGGGAAGTGGGGGAGCACATACCGTCGCTTGCTCACTTCTCGATCATGTCCCTGCAGAGAGCCGTGACTGTTGCTCACGGCTCCCTGCAGGGATTTCCCCCTCTCCAATCCTCCAGAGCTGACTGGAGGAATGGTTGGGGGAGGGGGCGGGTACAGCTGGCTCTGCCTCTAGATAGGCAGAGCCAGCTGTCAATCATGCAGCATGGTGGATCTTGACAGTTATGTCGGGATCCGTCCCGGCTGCGGCGTCTCAGTATACCGCAAGCTGTAGCTCCCTATATACTGAGCTTTGGGTGACGGGAAGACCATGTTAATGTCCTCCCGTGACCCTTAGGAGAACTATGGGGAAAAGCCCTGACCTCATAGTTCTCCCTTTAGCTTGACACCCCATTAGCCTTTTGCTTATTTAACTTCCTAACATATGGCCTCCTATTTCAGACTTCTTCTCAGTGGACTGTGGAGGAGATTGTCCGTGGGGTGACTAGTGGAAGCCTGGAAGTAGAGCTACAAGCCACACAGGCTGCCCGGTGAGTAGTCTATGGTGATGGTTAAGAAGTTTGATGCATTGCTAGTATATTACATTTCACATTAGCTAGCTCTTTCGTAATGTTCTATTTTTTGGGCTGCCCCCTTTAGCCAGCCCTAGGTGCAATTGATCAATGCTTAACTTGGGTTTTGTCAACTCGACTCTCTTCCACCTTAATTAAAATCTTGTTGCTGTCCTGCTTGCCCCTCAAGGTTGTCAGATCACGTCTACCTGCAGATGCAGCAGTGCCGTCCGTCCGTTTTTTTACTACGGGCGGACGGCAAGAGGTTAAGGGGATATTTCACACTTGTATAAGGTGGTTTCACTGGAACAATGTTTTATTTTCTATACAGGAAGCTGCTTTCTCGGGAACGCGAGCCTCCCATAGACCGTATCATCCAAGCCGGCCTCATCCCGAAACTTGTTACCTTCCTGTGCCGTGAGGATTGCAGCCCTATCCAGTTTGAGGCTTCATGGGCTCTCACCAACATTGCCTCGGGCAACTCTGACCAGACCCGGGCTGTGGTAGAAGGTGGAGCCATTCCTGCCTTCATCTCCCTGCTGGCTTCCCCTCACTCTCACATCTGTGAGCAGGCCGTATGGGCTCTAGGAAACATCGCAGGTAACCTACCAGTACTAAATGGCTTTGTCTACTAGGCAGCTAAGAGGTTCTTGTATTCACATTACCATAATTGTACCTAGAGTTGCATACTCTTCTCCTGAAGCCAGCTGCACTTGAATTTGGATCACTGGCCTTGTGTTGAGGTTATGGGTCTGGTTCTGTCTTGGGCTTCAGCTGCATCAATTTCCATGGTGTTCTCTGGGTTCTCGTGCATTGCCCTTTGCCAAGGAGAGGAAGTGTAGAGCTTGCAGGTCCGAAGACTCTAACCACACCATGTGACCACATTGAGTGGCCTATTGCAATGCACCGACACTCATCAGCTAAATGGTATAGATTGGTATGTTGCTATAGCAACTTGGGCACAAAATCAATTTAATGAAAGGTATCCAAGGATTGCAGCTATTGAAGTGAACTTGCTGTCTCTTCCCTCTGTTCAAAGCGGAGCATCTCTTTAAAAACCATTGCTATTGCTCTACTTTTTGAGGAAAGCCTCGGTCACTCTGGAGGATACCTAGCGTACCTGCGTCACTGGGATGGTCTGTAAGCTTTGTCAATCGAGTGGCTGTGTCCAAAAAGTGCATTATTTTGGGGGAACTTTATCCAGACATTTAGCCCTGAGAAACAGACAATCTATAACTGTGTATGGCAGCCTTTTGGCATATCACGGCGTAGCTGGCCTATTGTGGTATTTATCCTGGGGATGTATGTTGGGGGTTTTCCCCTCCGTATTTATGGCGCTTGATTTTCTTAAATCTTATTTTACTCCTAGGTGATGGATCGGCGTACAGAGACTTGGTCATTAAACATGGGGCTGTGGCTCCTCTGTTGGCTCTACTGGCTGCCCCTGATCTTTCGTCTCTTCCTGTGAGTATATATGCATTTCCTGTTCTGCACCTTTCTGCATAAATGTCCCGTTATATCGGCAAGCCTCTCCACTAGTCTACAATCATGTAGAGATGTTGGGGACATGTAGCTCAGGCCACAGCTATGTACAGAGGAGTTTGATGAAGCTGCACCAGATGCTTGGCTTTACTAAATGAAATCACCAATACAAAAAGCTTAAGTGTATAAAGCTTTCTGTAGCGGATTAGAATGAACTACCAGTAATCTGATTTGTCTGAAGATATCATGTGAAGTGCATGTAGTAGTAATTTCCCCCATTGCTGGAGTTCTGAGGTTGCCTGCTTCTCCACGTCCTCAGAACACTATAACCAGTCATAGTACTGACCCTATATCCTAGTCAGGAGCTTGCATTGTGTAGAAATGTTTTTTGGCTGCTCTGTGTACTCCATGTTGTATAATTTAGAGGGTATAGTGGCTTTATAGGCTAATCGGATGACTTTGCCTCTTCTCTACAGACCGGCTACCTCCGAAACCTCACCTGGACCCTGTCCAACCTGTGCCGCAACAAGAACCCAGCACCCCCTATTGAAGCCATTAAAGAGATCTTGCCCACCTTGGCTCGGCTTCTGCACCACGATGACCGGGAGGTTTTGGCAGACACTTGCTGGGCCATCTCTTACCTGACAGATGGCTCCAATGACCGCATTGATGTGGTGGTGCAAACAGGACTGGTCCCCAGAATTGTGCAGCTGCTGGGGTGCAAAGAGCTAACTATAGTGGTAAGTGGATGGCAGAACTCAAAACTCTAGACACCACTTAGGTCTGCAGGCATTTCTGTTGCTCATTTGCTCCTGTATAAGATGATTGCATGAAGGAAGGGATGACTGCGTCTAGCCTGTGGTCCGGGATTCAGGTTTTTTGTAAGGTTTCTCAAAAGGGTGGCTGCACAATATGGCAGCTACTAAAGTCAAAGTGAATTAATCACAAAGTAATGTTCTGTAGCTTAGACACCATGGCCTGAACTATGTAGGTGACATGTCTGTCTTTCCCTGGCAGACCCCTTGCCTGAGGACAGTAGGAAACATCGTGACAGGCACAGACGAGCAGACGCAAGTGGTCCTTGAATCGGGTGCCTTGGCTGTATTTGCTGAACTCCTCACCCATCCCAAGAACAACATCCAGAAGGAGGCAGCCTGGACTCTGTCTAACATCACGGCCGGGCGACAGGACCAAATCCAGGAGGTGGTGAATCATGAGCTGGTACCTTTCTTGATTGACATCCTGAAGAAGGTAGGTGACCACGTGAGAGTATTGGGTGCTCTTGCTAGCAACTTAAATTGCTTCCTCAACTGAACAGCTATAAATTGTTTACATAATAATGGCTAATATGTAGAAATATAAGATCAAAGCAGAGGCTTCTTAATTAGGGCTGTTACTGATTAAAATTTTCGTGTTCAGTTAATTGAAATTTTTTTAATCGCTTAATTTTGATTTAATGATACGCACATACAGATCCAACTAAATTGGCCTATACATACATACAGCACAGCAATGAAGTCGTAAAATGAACTAGGATCACACTCATCCAGCACGTTATTAATCTCACGTGCCCCACTCATGTCCGCTGCCTGAGTGGGGCAACTCGGAATAATAACGTGCTGGATTAGTGTGATCCTAGTTCATTTTATTACTGCATTGCTGTGCTGTATGTGTATAGGCCGATGCCTTGGCTGGCGCTCGTGCAGAGTTTCTTGGGCAAACTCACCGGCCCAAGTGGCTCCGTCGGCAATGAAGGGAAGGGGGAGGAGTCCGGTGTGACAATGTCCATGATGTCACCGGATCTCCAACGGGACTCCCAGAAGCTGGCAGGAGTATTTTGATTAGCAATAAAAACATTTTTTATCGGTAAAGATTAACGATTAATCCAGAAATCGTTAATTTGCACAGCCCTAGTTAAAATGGCCCTGTACTTTGCTAAACCACTACCGGGAGTAGATGGCAGATATCAGCCATGAGCATGATCCCTCATATGGGTACAATCGTCCCAGAAATCTACTGACTGGCTTCTGTTAGCGTCTGGCTGCTTTTACTGGCATTCATCACACAAGGAAGTCTTGGCTTGGCTATGTCACAAGACTTTCTGGCTTATTGGTAATCTGGCAAGGTTTAGTATTTTTAGGGCAGACTTGAGAAAACCTAAATTGGGGTGAAGGTTTACTTAAATGATCACCATTAAAGTATGGGGACATGCGGGTTTTCACTGTTACTAGACCAAATACTGTGAAGTCACAGAACATTCACTGCCTGTAACTGAACGCTTTAGCTGAACACATGGATTTATGTTGATCGTGGCTGACCTTTTCTATAACTTTTACAGGGTGACTACAAGACACAGAAGGAAGCCGTGTGGGCCATCACCAACTACACCAGTGGCGGTACCATTAACCAGATCATCTACCTGGTACAATCCGGGGTCATCGAGCCTCTCTGTAACCTGTTATCTGCTAAGGACAGCAAGACCGTGCTCGTCATCCTGGACGCCTTCACAAACATCTTTGCTGTAAGTCTTCTTAGATGTTTACCTTTTATCTGCTCAGGAATATTCTATTGTCCTACTAACACAATATCACCTTAACAGGCTGCTGATAAACTTGACGAGACAGAGAAGCTGTGCCTGATGGTGGAAGAATGTGGCGGCCTGGACCGTATCGAGGCCCTGCAGTCCCATGAGAATGAGCAAGTTTACAAGTCCTCGTCTATGCTGATTGAGAAATACTTTGCTGCAGAGGTCAGTTGGCTAGATACTATTAAATCTAGGAGTTGCTTTACTTGGTTTGTGTAAGATCTGCCTGTTTCTTTCAGGTACCAGGAGGTAGAGCCACCTTGTGTAGATTACTACTGGCCATGCTCTCTCCTGGTTCCCCATACCCAGAAGCAGCAGATACCCAACAGCAGTAGATTTTAATGACGGCTGATGGGTTGGGGGCATGAACACAAGCCTGCCCTATATATGCCTAGGTTTTCATTAACATATGGGCTTGGTCTCATAACGTGGCAGAACTAAGCTTGAAGACTGTAGAAGTAGATATTGGTGTCCTAATGTGGGTGCTGGGTGTGTGTTAACGGCCACAAAATGATTGCAGTTGTAGCCTTGTCCTCACGTGTGGAGGCTAAAACAGAAATGTGTGCCATTAATGTCCAAGTAAGCATTGCAAAATGCTAAACATGGCTCAGGGCACACCGTGCACATTATGGACTCTTAAAGCACTCCCATGTAGTTGTCGTCACTCCTACTTCATTCCCATAGATGAGGTTGTACATCTGTAGCTCGGTGTACAATTGCAGAAATGCTGGAGGGTAGGGGAGGAACTTTGTGGTAGAGGCTAACTAGGACTGTCATCAAAACTAACCTACCATTAATCTTAGCGTTGCTACCAGTTTGCACCATGGATCAGATTGTGGCCGTGCCATGCATTAGTGTGGCCGTGCCATGCATTAGTGTGGCCATGCCCCCATTGTAGCTATGTTAAGGTCTGGCACTCTGTATTGGGGTTTGATATGTTTAGTGGCTGGTCTGTCATACTGATACGTGTTCTCTCTTGCAGGAGGATGAAGAGGAAAGCCTTGCTCCCGAAGCCTCATCTGATGGTTACGCTTTCCAGGTTCCCAGCGGCACTCACACCACCTTCGACTTTTAAGCACTTTACCCCTTGTGGTCGTCTCCTCTTTGTCTTTTTTTCTATGTGACTTGGCACTTTCTGTCCTGTACATACTGTGAATCTGTTACGTCGACTTGTGTAAATAGTTTTACTTCTGCATTTCCTCACTCTTCATTTCTCGCTCTTACACTAAGACCTCTATAGCTCTTGGGGATGTGAACGCCCTGCTGTACTGGTCTCTGCTGGATAATCCAGCTCCTTGAAGGCATGCGTTGCCTGTCTTGGTTCTGCCCGCTCACAGGGCAAATGGTTCCTTTTGTGGATAAGACCTGCGATGCCCTTCACCTGCTGGAAGGGCATCTATTTGTAAGGTTTGTCCTCCTCGATGGGTAGGTTTACAGGTCCCTTCACGTCCGAGGAGGTCTGCAAGTTTACAATGTGACTTGTACAGCTTACAATTGACGAAAGTGTCTAATAAAACTTTTTGTAATGAAACCTTGTCGCATGTGTTTTGTTTATGGCTGAGGTGGCCTGGGAGAAGCTGAAAAAAGTTGGCTTGATGGATGGTTCCTGTGTGATATGGACGAGTGCAGCTTCTACCAGTCATCTTGCAGAGGTATTAACTCAGACATGGCTCATTAACACCAGAGGAGTATTTCTGGACATGAGATATGGTAAACCTGGTAGAGGGGGTGGTAGGGAGTTTAACCTCTGCAAGGTAAAGTTTATCTTTGTAGTAGTGCGGGGTATTGACTTGAGAAACATCAACTGAGTCTGCATAGATGCATGGCAATAGAATCTGCCTTGGGGAGGGTGAAGGGTTACTTGGATCAGGTAGTTTCTGGTAGGCTGAAGTAACCTTTATTTTAGGGAGAGGTATCCAATAAATGTGTGGCTTCAGAGCTCTTCTGGCTAAGGGTTGAGCTGCAGGCTCTGTTCTAAGGTTTAGGGCTGCAACCAACTAATCGGTATTGAGTAGTTGTCATCTATTCTCATCATTTAGCCGGTTGGATCCCTTACACGGAGGAGGGCTCAGCAAGCTGGGTTGGTGTAACGGCCAGCCTGCTATTTCAATTTGAAAAGGCCAATGGGCTGACTACTACATTGTTCGATCCCAGATTGTGACTGCGTTAGAATGTGTGACCAGTCACATGGTCACACATTCTAATGTAGTCAGGCCCAGATTCCCCACAAGGCCACCGAGGCCCGGCCTCGGGGGCGTAGCGGTGTCCTTGTGGGGAAGTTGCCCTCTCTACAGTCCTGCTTTGTACAAGCCGAGCTAAATGTAGAGTGAGGCAGCCGATAGTTTACATGTGAAATCGGCAATGTCACTGAGATCACATGTAAACAGTGTGCAGCCCGTCCTCCCCTTCCCCCTGCACTTACCTCTCCTTTCTGGTTCTGTCCTCCGCTGCCGAGTCTCTGGACTGCAGTGAGCAGAGCGGCCGGGGTATAAGTAACCGTGCCGCCCTGTGTACACAGTGAGAGGGTAGAGCTGTGCTGTGCTAGAACTCCTGTATTGGAGGTGACAGGGTCAATTAAGAGAACCAGTCACCTCCAATTGCTATTACACAGGGGATTGTTTTCTCCTGTGTGATGGCAATAAAGTTTTCTCCTGTGTGATGGCAATAAAGTTAGGTGGAGAAAAAAATTACATTGATTAAAAAGTTTTAAATAAAAAAAATAATGAAATGATTAAAAAGGTAATTAAAAAGTAAAAAAACCTAATAATTATTAAAGAAGAAAATAATTATAAAGTAAATAAGATATAAAAATCTAAAAAATTGCGTTTGAGCCTGGCCTTGGGGCGGCAGGGAGAGCAAATCCAGCCCTGGTCACACCCATTTTCCCCAGGGTAAGAATGTGTGACCGGCAAAAGTTGTAGACTTGAAGCTTTCGCTGCTGTTCCTGGGTAGATCGGCATCGCAGATCCTGTGTGCAGGAGAACCGATCTGCCCTGGGACAGCAGAGGAAGCAATGAATACAACAGCTATATCCAGTCGCACATTTTCACCCTGTTAAAAAATGGGTGTGACTGTTAGAATATGTGACCATTTTACAGGTCACACATTAGACCGCTGAAATTATGGGCGTGATTGCATTAGAATGTGTCACTGGTCACACTCTAACGCAGTCATGATCTGTGATGGAACACCGTCTGCAGAATCTTGCCACTGGCAGCTGTCATTCCCGGGCAGAAGCTATTCAAGCGCAAGGCCCCATTCACACTGCACGATTCGCATTATGCGTGATGTCGCGCAAATGCTTGAATTGAGCAAGCGAGAATCGTGGCAAAATCCGCTCCCAAGGGTCCTGCTGTAGCGACACACGACCCGCGACAGCGGGACCCTTTGCCCCATTGAGATGCATTGAAGAGCGATATCGCGCGGGAATTACCGTGCGATGAATCGCTCAATGTGAGCGGGGCCTTATGCGGTTACAATACAATTAAAGGAACTATGAGATGAGTGATTTCCACTCACCTCATAGTTCTAGCCGACCTGTGACAATGAGACTGCCACAGGTCGGCTCAGTAGATCGGGAGGTGAGCGAAAACATACCGGTGTTCGCTCACCTCTCGATCCTTTCACGGCTCTCTGCCGTGACGGTGGAGGGGCTGGATTCCCCCCTCCCCGCTCCGATCCGCCAGCGCTGACTGGCGGAAAGGACGGGGGAGGGGGCAGGTACAGCTGGCTCTGCCTCTAGATAGGTAGAGCCAGCTGTCAGTCACGCAGCTGGGCGGATCCAGACATAATTGCCGGGATCCGCGTCAGCTGCGGCGTCTCAGTATACCGCGAGCTGTAGCTCCCTATGTACTGAGCCTAGGGTGACGGGAGGACCCTAGTTTGTGTCCTCCCGTTACCCTAAGGAGAACTATGGGGAAAAGCACTTACCTCATAGTTCTCCTTCATCATGCTTTTGGATGGGAAAAGAAGTAGCGGAGTTCCCATCAGTCAATGTGCTTTCCATGTATTGACATTCTCCTTGAGCTCTAAGGCCGTACTGCTTTTCCCTCCACTCTGAGCTCTGCTGTAGAGAGCAGTGTCAGTTATTGGGTCACGTTCAGGTAGTTAGCATGCACACACGTAGAGATCTGCAATCATTTCTAATTTATCTTAGCTGGTGTGTCTGTTCAGTCGCTGAATAAGCTTCCTGATGCCCTCTGTTTTCTTATCAGTTGGTTGATGATGGTTCGCTAACCTTGTCATGATGTGGTATCTGAACCTGCCAGTAGGGGGAGCCATTGCTCTTGTCATCTCCTGTACATGGCAGCCATGATGCTTTCTATGCATTTACATGCTGATGGGCATGGTCACCCATAACAACCTACCCAGCCTTGGTCAATCGGAGTTGTGTTTCGTATTGGTGAGAAGTCATGTCGGTGCAGGAAGATCACACAAGCTGTCATTTCTATAATGATGCATTAAAAGCTAAGACACCTTCAAGATGAGATTCGGTCTGGATTAGAACCTCGGTCAGGTTTTTTTAATTGTCTCCTCGCTGTGAAGGACCAGTCTAGTGGTGGTCACAGAACAGAAGTTAAAGTGCAAAGTTACTAAGATTTCTTCTCACTTCCTGTTGATACAGGAAATGAAGGGGAAGTTTCTCAGCGTGCTGTATAATAAGGGGACACAACAGGGCGATTCTTTCATCTACAACAAAGTGTAGTGGCGTGTGACCTGTAAACCCCAATTTATGACACGTCTCTGGCAAGCTTAATGTCTCCACCATCTCTAACATTTCCTTGAATGACCAGATTGTTCCTTCAGGTGTTCCCAGCTCTGCCTACTTCCTGTTTACATTATTGAGGGGAGGGGCCTCTTTTCATATATGATGTCATACATGGTTCTGTATGATGATTTTTTTACTTGGACTTGTTTCACGCTGTGATAATGCATGTTGGCATATAACATGAACACGCGTGTTGTCGATGTGGCCGACCTGCTTGCCCCTTTCACCTAATGGCTTCGTCTTCAGTCTGTTACTATAATTCATACCAATTATGTTCTGTTATCAGTCTGTACTATTGTGCGTTGTGATTTTGCGCCATTATAAATAAAATATTATTCATGTGTTAAGTGTCTGTTGTGGTAAGCGGAACAGAGAAATGAATGGGCGGCCTAAACACAAACATGTACCAACACGTGTGCATGACCCCAGCCATAGAATTGTGCAGATTTATGATTTCCTATAGCAATTAAATGGCCCGGGCGTCCATCTTGGGGCTCTCTGTGCATTGGTGGGCAGTGATTGCAGCAGGAGCAGTGACACGCAGGAGCAAAGCTGCCATTGTAAATATTCTGGAACATGATGACATTGGTAGGGTGTTTAGGTTTATTTTAGCCTGGCTGCAGTTAGTCGGCTACCCCCAGGCTGTCCCCCAGCTCATGAGTGTGTAGAACAGTCACATGGCAGCCCTGGAGGGATGCACAACACAGCAGGCCTCCATGGCACTGATGTTGCCCCATGTGGATACGCTCTAGTGCTGGGCTCCCCCATACACCATCTGTATAGCTGTTTATGGGTATCATGAGCCCCTCACAACACCAGGCTGATCACTAGCTCGCCCTGTAATCACATTTAGAAGCAGAATACACAATATGGAGGCGTTGCCCTAGGCAACCGGTGCGGTCCCTACAATTCCCCTTACTTTATGTGCAGCTGCATGGCTTTATAGTGACCGGAAGTGACGTAATTGGAAATTTCGACGATTTGGCCATTTCGATAGAGCACCACCGTGACACTACAATTTCCGGCGTGCATCGCGCTCCACTTCCTGTCCCGGCCCTCTCTCCTGTGTGGCTGTTTCCTTCTAGGGGCGGGGTTAGAGGTTGCGTGTGTCCGCGCCCAGCAGAAGGGCTGTGGCCGTCTCCAGTCTGGAGGCGGGGCCTCAATGTGTCCCCCGTCCTGTGGGAGGGTTTTGGTTGTGTCTGGCCAGGGGGCGGGGTGTTGGAGTGTCCCCCTCCTGGCAGTGGGAGGTGTCGTCGTGGCCCCGCCCCCGGACTGGCTCAGTCCCTCCTCCTCCTCCCTGTGATGGCGGCGCTGCTGTGTGGTAGATCC